CTATTCTGACCATAAAACGCTTATTAAGGTAGAAAAGAACATTGTTTAAACATATTAAAATTAATGTTTTTTATTGTGCTTCAAAAATAAAAAAGAGTATTCTGGTCATCCTTAAAACATTTAAGACAATAATAAATGAAACAAAATTCATTGATTGGCTGTTAGTCTTATTCTACCTTGGTCAAGTTGTTTAAAAAACAACAAATTTCTTAATAGCAAAAATTCTAATAGTCTAATCTATTTTTGCACGATGTAGTAAAATTGCCGTAACAATAGGTTTCTTCTTGACGATATGATAAGAAAAGGATTTGTATACTTATTAATAAAAAGTTATTATTTTGTATATAGGGGAAAGGCGCCTATGATAGCATACTTAGCTTTGAAGCTTCATTATTAAGTATCCTGAAGACCAATAATAAAAGTTTTGATATGGATACATTTCTTATTACAAGTAGAACTATAATAACCCTCGGATTTTTCATCAGTTTTTTTTTTTTTTATAAGTTATTCCTATTTTAAAAAAAGTACAAGTATGCCATCATAGTCAACCACTGCTCTTATGATGGTATAGGAGAGGATAAGCTGGTTAGAATCAAGAGTAACTTGATGAATTCATTTAACCTTAGAGTCTTCCCTCAGAAAAGCCACAATTTACTCGGAACCATCCTAATTTACCATTTCATGCTACAGAGCAGCATTGTAAAGTTTCGCGAATGCGCATAGGATATATTGCGTTTTATGCATTTTTTGGACAAAAAAAAAAACACTTTTGGAGCATCGCTTTCTTTTTACTTTACTTAAAAATAAGTTTTTCTTATGAAAAAAGAAGGTTTCCCGAACTCGCCAATATTACAACAAACCCAACTCGTCAGTATGCCATCATAGGAAGAAGTCATCATTTTCATGAAAACAAGTTGTGTCTGCCTTATTCAAAAAATAAAATTAAAGTAAGTATTCCACTAAATGTACAAAACCTGGATATAAAATGGATGAAAATTCTCTTTCGGTACAGTCAATAATAAAATCACATCTTAAATATATGAAGGGAATAAAACTACAACAGCACATCCCAAAATCGATTTTTGCTGATTAAAAAAACAAAATTGTGCTCAAGGGACTTATTTTCACTAAAACTAATGTAAAGTCAGTATAGTCATGTAGATCTAATCACTTTTTCACCAAAACCAATTTTTATGGAAATATGACCGGTATATCATCATAGGCGCTATGCCATCATTGGCGCCTTTACCCTACATGTTTTACACAAGTAAGTATTTCGTGAAGCTTCCCAATATTTTGCTTTTTTTACAGAAAATTATTATGACAAATTTATTAATTGGTTTTTAAATATTTATGCTGAGTAATTTAAAAATATAATTAATTATTGATAAATTACTTGCCATAAAACTAAAACCTAAAATGTTTTTTTTATTATTTTTGAAAAAAAGAAGTGATCAAGACCGATTCAATCCCATTTACAGGAAACCTTTCTTAATTAAATTATACCGCTAAAAAGTCATTGATTTTATTTTCATTTTGAAAAAGGTAGTTAAAAAAGTAATTGTAAATGTTGGTAGCGGTCACCTCTAATGGCCCTTGATTACTCGCTGATTCCCATTTATCACTCTTTTTTTCTTTGAAATTTTATCAACCCGGAATTTCAAATGAACTAGAATTTCATTTAAAAATTTATAATTTATAACCATCTTTATCAAAAACATCCTGAAAAAAGTATTGCTACAAAATGTCATAAAAAAAATCACCATATCAGGTTTAATTTTAAAATGTTATATTTTTTGAATATATATTAAGAAATCTTTATTTAAAACCATTATTATTTCTGAGATCTATAAAATTTTAGTTCTTTTGATACCGAGGTTGAGAAACCTTTTCGGCAAAAAAAAACTCTGTGTTGTATAAGAGCTAGCGAGTAATCTCTTGTCTAAAAGATTATTGAAGGTGATCTTTACGAGTGATAGCAAGTAATCAAGAGCCATTGAAGGTGACCTGTTTCAAAAAGTCGATAAAACCAAGGAGGTATAATAAATTGGAGGGAGAACGATGTAAAAATACGTAATTTCTCAAGGAACAGTTATAGTAGTAACATAGTTTTGAAGTAGTAACCAAGTAGTAAAGATTAAAACTTTGATATTTATTGAGGTATCGAGGTATTCAAAAAATGATTACTTTACATAGATCATGATTTTTGTTGTGATTACTACTTGATAGTTGGAACAGTTGTTAAAAACCTATCCAGTAAACTTTCAAGAGAGTAATCAATTTTGATTGCAGCTTACAAAGCTATTTACATAGGTACTTACAAAACTACATTTCAAAGTTTTTCATTTTCAACGAAGGTGTCATTTTGACTTTCCGCTGGAATAATTATACAACAAAGACTGTACTACAATTTTAAACTATTTTATGCTTCATTCTCCCTCCATTCTCCTAGACCTCCTTGATAAAACAGGGTCGACGACTCGGGTTTTAAAGTGGAGGGACACAACCGCCACTTTTTTAAAAAAGTCCTCTATATCTAGAATTTGCTTTTTTTTTTAAAAAAAAAGATCCTTTAGAAAAAACGTGTGGGGCACGTGCCCCCTGGCCCCCTGGCCCCCTGGCCCCCCGGTTTTGTCGGCTCTGTAAAACTAATAAAATTTTATTTGCTTTCGAACCAAAGCTATGTCATATCCTTTCTTTAATATTTAAATCTATTGATTATAAACTATTGGTATTAAAGTTGGCTAAAAAATAGATCATAATAAAATAAAAAAGATCATAGAATTTTAAAAAAGTTACTTTTTTACTTTATATCTTTAACTTTAAAATGTTTAATGGACTAAACATATTAATGCTAACTAAAAAACGTATAATATTCAGGGGTACATTAAAACCAAATAACAGCTCTTCCTAAAAATTGCACCTCACTCATTTTGAAATTTAGTATTGCATGGAAAAAATGGTACATGCTTGTGAAAACACACTTTTAAAGGAATTATAGAATTGCAAATATTTGTTTAAAATATTTCTAAAAGGTTCAAAAAAAAAAAAACTTTTGTATGCAAGAAAAAAAATTAAACCATCATTTTCTAAATTACTACATTCAAATTAAGATGCAAATGACACAAAGATTTCTATTTCATTCTATTCGGTAATTTTTTTGTTTTTGAACACATTTCAATGTATTCAAGAAAATATTAAATATAGAACGTAGTTCTATTGATAATCTTTGCTGTGATTTGTTGAGATTACTCAACAAACTAAAGAAAAAGCAATATTATCACATACTTGCCAGACATATTCACACGTGCAAATACGACAAGTGGCAATAGCGGAAAGATTTGTTGATTTTATTGAGTTGTCAAAAAACAGGGGAGGGTATTGGTAACAAACTTTGGAGCTCATAAAAAATTTCTAATGGAAAAAAAATAGCGCTCTTAGGTAGCACAATTACAGTGGGAGTTTTTTTTTTCCTTTTTTCTTTTTTGTTTTGTTTGTTTGCGTCATAAATTAAAACGAAAGTTTTCACTTTACAAATGCATAATCAATTGAATAAACCACAGGCGTAAATAAACTTTAGACGTTTGATTTAATTTATTTTTTCATAATTTTTAAAATCAGAGACAACAAAATGTTGTTTTTGTTGGAAGCTGTGAATGCTGTTATTGATTAAAACTGTCTACAGACTGTTACTTTTTAAAATATAGACACATATAGTTCATTTCATGTAAAAAATAATCTTCAATTAAAAACAAACTGTGCATGTCTATATATACATGTAAATTTATACATACATACACACATACATACGTATATGTATAATATATATAATATATATATATATATATATATATATATATATATATATATATATATATATATATATATATATATATATATATATATATATATATATATATATATGTATATATATATATATATATATATATATATATATATATATATATATATATATATATATATATATATATATATATATATATATATATATATATATATATAAGATTATAGGCTGTCATACTTTTAACAGTTTTTTATTTATAGTTGTCTATATTGTTATTTTGGTTACGCTTTATTTAGATTCAATGAAGTCTAAATAAAACGTAAATAAAGATAGCAATGCGCGTAACTAGTGTTCATGTAGACATGCTGTTTACAATAAGCAACCTCCTGCTTGAACTTTGTTATTCATTTTGTTTTAGTTCAAGTTTATCAGCTATTATTAAAAACACAGTTTATTGTAAAATGACTTGTGAAACTGAACTTCAAATAACTTTGTAAATCTTAAAAGAAAACGTTAACTTATTCTGTTTGACTTAAATAAACCCAGCAACCGTTTAATATGTTTAAATTACAATAACTTTATTTAGTAGTTGCTTTTATTATAATGAAAATGAATTTGATGTAAATCGTCTTGCAACTGAATGTTTTACAAACTTAATAGCAAAGTTAAACGGAACTACACCTGCTATTTTTTTTTTTTTTTTTTATATGCGTAACCGTTGCGAAGTATTACGTGTTATATATTCCTTTTTTCATTTTAAAAACCGCTTTAATTGTGTTGTTTTTTTACTAGAAATTTAAACATTGTGTTATTTGTTTTTATTTGTAAACGGCCCTAAATCATTTAAGGTTCTTCCTAAAAAGTTTTTTTTCACAAGCAAAGAAGATTTATTTTTCTGATTTATTCAACGTAAAGATTTGTCGTTTTTGTCGGATTTTTTTTTTAATTGAATTTTATTAAACCCATATTATATGTTTGAGTTTTGGATTTATTAATTTTATTTATAATAAACTTTGATTTTGAGTTGTTAAAATTATACTGCAAACTCAATAATAATTCAGACAAAGTTTTAAATATTTTTATTTACATTTTACCTCTGTTTAAACATCCTAATATATAAAATATCATTGTTTATACATTTTCCATAACTAATTTGACTTCAAGCATCTTTTTTTAAAGATTAATTTTTTTGTAGAAGAAGTTAAAAATGAGCGATCACTACATAATCGATTTAACGTTGTATACTTACATGATTTCAATATTGTTATCTGTTACTACTTTGATAATATACTTCACCTTGAAACAATGGAGGACAAGAGATGGAAAAATGATGTTAAATATTATGATGGTGGATTTACTATTTGCATGCTCTAGTGTAGTTTATTTATTTTGCAGGTCAGTGCAATGTCGGTATTACTTAGCTCAGATAGCACTTTACTTGGTTCTTCTTTCGTATGCCTATCAGACATTGATTGCTGCAAATCGTTATATTGTTGTCAATTTTACGTTTACTTACAAGAACGTGCTAAACAGAAGCAGGTTGTTTGTCGTGTTATTTTTATTATGGATGTTTACCTCGTTATATTTGATTACATCTCTCACCGACCAACAAAATGGTACAAATAAAAGTTTTATTTTAAGTCAAAAAGTATTAATGATAAACAATAAAGTGTTATTGATGAGCGATAAAGTGTTTATGATGTATATCTCCACCAATTCAATTATCTGTTTTTCCGCAATTCTATTTGTCCTTTCAGTTTTAACAGTGACCTTAGAAATAAAGCTCCGTTGCACAGCTACAAGTCACAGAGAACGGTTAAGAACACTTTTGAAATCTATTCAAACCAATATGGCGCCAATTACAAAACGAAAATTTAGTTTTCAAAACTTTAAAAACTCTTTTTCAGGTGAACACTTGCCTGTTAGGAAAACTTCAATTTTTCTATTTGGCATTCACATTTTTATAACAGTGTGTATTTTAAATGCTTCTTTATGCAATATTTTAAAACATCGTTATCCGTCAATTTATTTATTCTCCAAATACTCTACACTTGTTATGTCCGTGTTAATCAGTCTACGTCCAACTGTTAACACCCTTAATAGTTTGTCTTATCAAAAATTAAAGTGCTTTAAGAGAGTTTTTTTTAAGCACCTTGGCATAAATTTAAAGCACAATAGCGAATATTACGACCATAACCAAACAGATATTCAGGAACGCATAAAGAAACGCAGTTCTTGTTTAATATCAGCTGAATTTTCAAAATAAATAAATTTGTTTACGTGATATTATGTAAAGAATGCAATTTGTTTTTGAGAAACAAAACTTTATCAAACAATTTTGAAAATATAAATAGTTTATCACCAAATTATAAATTATTATATTTATTATTTAGAGTTATTTTATATAATGAGTTAAATTATGATGTAAATATATAATGTTTAAATATTAAAAGTAAATATATTTAAAATAATTTTATAATGAAAATCTGATTATGAAAGTTTTGTACAGAGGTTTAGAATCTCATACTTTTTCAGACGTTAGAACATGTTTATTATGTTAATAAATCAAAAACAAATTTTTAACAACTTATAAAATCTGCATATTCTTACCAAAAATAATTGTTTTCAGTTGACACTTTGTGTTTAAAAATTGAAATAAAGGAATGCATATTTCAAAAAAAAAGCAGGCGCACAAATTTTTAAATTGATTTTCGTTCTACTTTCTTCTTCACCCGACTGTTATTCATTATTACTTTATTAATTCATATGTCAGTTTGACAACTTTCTTTAAAAGGCTGTTTAAAACTGCTTATGATGATCAGTAACACCTAAAGCCTTCTTAAATATTTTGATAAGATCTAAACGTTAAGATAAACAGAAATGGGTTAAAAAGCAGTAATCTATGCAATAAAGTGGCAAATAAAACGTATAAAGAATGGTTCCATGATTAAATGAAAACAAAAAATAAAATGAAAAATCGCTCCACATTAAGTAACAGAAAAATAGTAAAAGGATTTAAAATTTCAAAGAACTAGAAATCCTCTGAAAACATTTAAAAATACAGGTGGCATCCAACGTCACGCCGGATCAGGAAAATTAAACCAAAACTATGGAGCGCGATATCGGTCTTATATTTCGTCAAGTAATAACCAATCCAAGGTTAAGTTATCGTGAACTTACAAACGCATTCAACGAAAGCCGTAAAAAATCTTTCTTCAAATACAGTTAGAAACATTTTATCTAAGAAATATGTTTCTAACTGTATCAGTGAAATATGTATTAGTACATATTTCACTGATACAGTTAGTGATCATATTGTAAAAAGAGAATGTTCAATTTTAGATGGAAACATAACTTGGAAAGATCACATAAGAATGGTTGAAAATAAATTTCTAAAAATAATGATTTATTCTATAAAATGAAACTACTCTTAGATCAAACATAATCGAAACACATATATTACTCATTCCTACCTTAACTATGCAAATATTTTTTGGTGCAACACCATTATGTCTTGGGCAAAAAAAAACAAAAAAACATTCAACGAATAAAAACATGCAATTAGATTATTATCAAATGTCTCGCACATTCAAAACCATTGTTTAACAAATTGAATATATTAAATGCTTATCAAACAAACATATATTAACTTATAATTTTTATGTATAAAACTATAATATAATATAATATAAATCAAATGCTGTTTTCTTGTTTAACCAAGAAAAACGAGCCTAACGACAGTAGGTGTTAGACTTTAAGAGCCGTTTTTCGTTAAAGCGTTTTAGTTTGTTTTTAAAATCATTTATAGAAGTTGCATTAATAACATCTTGATCTAAGATATTCCAAGCTTCTACAACACGGCTGGTAAAAATATTATGCCTAGAAAATGAGTTTACACATTGTCTTCTTAATTTCTAATCATGCCCTCTCGTAGTATTAGTTATTCTTTCAGGTTCGTTATACCAGTTTATTTTATCTATATTGTTTTGAAATCTAAACATCTTAATTAGATCACCTCGCAACCTTCTATCAACCAATTTTGAAAGTTCCATATTTTGTAGCCTTTGTTCATAATTAATACCTTTTGAGAAACATATTTTAGTTGCTCGTTTTTGGACTCTCTCTAGGCAATTAATATCTTTAGCGTAGTATGGGTTCCATATTTGAAATGCATACTCTAAGTGAGGTTGCACAAGTGATATGTATAATAGTTTAATAGTATTTTTGTCGATATAGTTGAACGCATGTTTTATTAACCCCAACTTACTATTAGCTTTGTTAACAATAGACTCAAAATAATGTTCCCATTTTAAATCATTTGAAATATATACACCTAAGTCTCGTTTTAATGATGCCTTTTGCTATCACTTTTGTGTTATTTGCATAAAATTTAGCTTTGTTATTAAAACCTTGTGAAAATTACAAAAAGTAAAAGACCAAGAACTGATCCTTAAGGGAACTCCACTTTTTACAGTTTCCCATTCTGATAAAAATTTCCCTGGAATTAATATCATTATTTAATAAAACTCAGTACAAATACCTTACCTTGAGTAATAACTATGTTCAATACTATATTATTTAACAAAATTCTCAATAACTTTTAGAGAAATGGAATCAAATGATCAGTAACAATATTTAAAAAAGTAAAAAAGTAAAAAATATTAAACACTTTTGATCAGTTTAAACAAAAACTAAAACTACTATGAAAAAAAATGGCTTTTCATATAACTCAACATAAAACTTAAAAATAGATGAAAACGAAATTGTATTTACTTTTTTGTAAAAAAAGTAAATACAATTTCGCCAATTAAAACGCCAACAGGTTTCTTTAAATATTATAAAAAATTCGCCAATTAAAACGCCAACAGGTTTTTTTAAATATTATTAACACAATTTCATACGCTTTTGTTTACTTTTTTCGCTTTAAAAAAAATGCCTTTGTTTCGGTTATTCATAATGGATGGTGTCCTTCGGGTGTAACTTCTTTAGAAAAAAATTTTTGCAACAATGTCAGTTAGAGTCAGTTAGAATAGTTTTTAAAAGTTTTTCTACTTGCGAACCAAAGTTCATGCAGGCAATCAATATATTACGCTAACAGAAACATACTGAAAAAGTATTATTACTTGATTACTAAAAGTTTTGCAATAACTCAGGGAAAAACAGTAACAAAGTTTTTTGTTTTTTTTTAACATCTTCGCTTACAACAAGAATGCAAGCAACCACTAATTAGAGTTGGAAGAGAAAAGATGAAGATTGTAAAGCAAGATAACGATTGACAGACGACTTAAAGGATTGCAAATTATATGAATCAGGAAAGCAAGATGAAGGAAGCGAATTCCAAAGAACTAATGTTCGAGGATAAAAACTAGGGGAATAAGAGTTTTTGGAGCACTTAGGAACAGTCACAGAAAAAGGATAAAACTTAATTGAATGGCGAGTTATATATACATTTGCAAATACCGCCGTAGGTATAATAAATAGTATAAACGTTATATACAATATAATATACGACGCGCCCACAACATTCCTTCTGACACAGCACAATAATAATTTATATATAGTACAACTATTTACACTAATTACAGACAACACATCCTTTTTCACATGTGTGTAAAAAAGGATCTGTAGTCTGTAATTAGTGTAAACCATTGCGGCCGTGGCGCAATGGTTAGAGCGCTTGCTTTATAAGCAGGAGATCCAGGTTTGATATGAGCTCTGGACGTATTTTCGCGTCACGGTAAGGAAGGAGGCGTGAACTTCCTGGTTAAATGCAATTCCGCGGTGCTCTCTGACAAGACCGTTAAGTCTTCTTGGGGCACCTAAAAATTAAAAAAAAAAAAAAAAAAGAGTTGAGTCTTAGTTCATTGGTCATTACTACGCTCTGTTGAGAACTTTCCTGCATTCTAATGTGGTTTCATGTCGAGGACTGAGAAATAGCTTGCTCCTTGACTTTTTATCAGACACTGGTAAATTGTTTATATATACTTTATATATTGGAAATCAGATAAAGGCTTTTAATCTTCTATATGGTATTTTTCACATTTGTATATTTATTTTCAGGTATACGCGAGCTGTGTGCAATAGGTTTAATGGGAAAATTATTGACTGGTCCTTGGATGACAAATTTCTATGTTACACAAAATAAGGGATTTGACTATTTGTCTGGTGTTGAAGTGATTAAAGATGTTTGCAACATTTTTGTTGAGAGCCAGAGGAATGCTCTTTCTTTATTAAACCAAACAACAAACTTTTTTGGTGGTTGTATTAATGATCCGGTGTTTGATTCTATTGTTAACTTTTCTCCAAGGACTACGCTACTAAGTACTAATACACCACACTCTCTAAAATAAAACACTGTTACTCTCTCTAAAAATAAAAGTATAGTTCTCTCTAAGACTATTATTTTCTATAAGACTTATTTTTATGCTGGTTTTTTTTGTCTAAATGCTTACAAAACGGAGGGGGGAGGGGAGGGGAGGGGAAGGGGTCAGCAGGTAAACCTTTCTCCAGTTGCCTTATATTAAATTTTGATATGTCTTCACTGTATCTCTAAAACTTTTATTTGGTACCAATTTGTGTGTATTTAAATAAAAAATAGCAATAGGAACAAGATTGAGCAAATTATCAAACGAGAAACCATGTGGTGTTGACCAATTGAGTACTATCATATTAAAAAATTGAGCTAAAGGACTTGCAATGCCAATCACATTTATGTCATCAATTGAAAATTGCGAACTGCCTATGCAATGGAAATTAGCGAACATTACCCCAATCTTTAAGAACAAAGACAGTAAGCTAGAAGCGAAATAATTATCGACCAGTTTCAGTGACTTCTGTGCCGTATTAAATTCTAGACAGCATAATAAGAGACTCACTTTCAGCACATTTTACGAACAATAAATTTCCATCGAAGTGTCAACATGGATTTGTTAAAACTGATGGAAACTGTGGATTATTTAATTGAAAATTTCGCACTGAATCGTCCGGTAGATATGGTTTATTTAGACTTTGCGAAAGCGTTCGACATAGTGCCGCACAAAAGACTCGTTTTAAAATTAAAAGCGTATGGAATAACAGGAAAGCTACTAAAGTGGTTAGAGGAATTTTTAATAGATAGAAAGCAACGCGTAGTAAACGGTGATATTGTCTCGAGCTGGCGCAAAATCTACAGCGGAGTTCCGCAGGGATCGGTAATCGGCCCGATCTTGTTTGTTGTGTTCATAAATGACCTGCCGAACAGAATAAAAAATATAACGAAGCTCTATGCAAATGACACAAAAATAATGATCGATGTGAACTCAATAGAGGAAACAAACAGTCTTCAACGAGATATAAACAGTGCTTGGTACTGGTCTAAAAAATGGTTAGTGAGATTCAATAAACAAAAAAGTGAAATAATACACAATGGCAGTAAAAATCCAAAACACGAATATTCTATGGATAATGTTGTTCTAGGACAAACTACTCT